GACAGGTCGGTTATTTTAAAGAAACTGCCTTTTTTTTCAGTTTCAACGTACCAAAAATAAAACGATTCTCTGAAGTTTCAGTTTCATTTGCAGCGACTTCTAGAGACTTGCCGTCATTCTGAACTTTGCGAAACGGGCCGGGCCCTCTATAAGAAATCCTCAATTTACGAACAAAAGTCAAACATTTATCTTTAATTCATTCAAAAAAAAGAAGGAATCCGTAGTATTGAATACCGTCGTTTCATTGATTTATCGCACAAAATTGATTCTGGTCACTTGAGCTTCCGTAATGAGGAATTGCTGTTAAATTTTCGCCCAAATTTTCGATTTTGCTCACAAAAGATTCGACAATCGAACACTGATGACACTGTTCCAACGATCGAATGAGCTGATATTCGCATAAAATCATGTGCATTCGAAAAATCTACCTGAATATGTCATTAAATCATCCATCTTTTCAGCATAATTCTCGATTGCATCAACCATCAAATCGCATGCAATAATCAACTCACGACAGTAAGTTTTTTGAAAACAATTGTTTTGTCGGCAGCATTTCATATTATTAGAAAACATTTTGAAACGAATATAGGACGTGCGTAATAATCACACAACTTCACAGATCGTCAACGATGTGTGGCTTTCAAATGTCGCCCAGTCGACCGTTTGATCTTCTTCAAGAACATGAAAATCGCACATAGAAATCAGATGTCCTCATTGGAAGGTTTAGAATATTAAGCAATATACACAGGAGGTAGTTATGCAAGTAATGGAATCGCACTCAAGAGGGAATACCTTCGAGAGTAACCATATAGCTCAGGCACAAAGTTGAGTGCTAAAAGCTAAAATCGTGATCCATGAGTATTGATTGATGATCCTGAAATCGTGATCTAAATCGTGATCGCTAAAAAATCGTGATCCATGAATATTGATTGATGGTCCTCAAGATCGAATGTGCAGACATAAGTAGGCGGCACAATTTAATGGCGAAACATCTTTAGATATTTTTGCTTTATTTCTGAAATAAAGCATTATAGATCGACGAGGTATGTAACTCACTGATAACAAAGAATGTGTCGTATCCAACATCAAAAAATCATACTTCCGATGTTCCTGTAGCATTCTCATCTCTGAATATTACATCAGATTCAATAGCACTCTTTTGACGTATAGTCTCAAGGTTATTTTGTGGCTCAATTTGAAGTCATTTGAGGCTGAATTTCGAGAAGCTGCGATGGAAATCCTGAGGGAGTTAAACGTGAAATCGTTAGGAGTCAATGTTGAAGGGTCGTATGATCGCCAGGTGATTACTTCAGATTTTTCATCAATGATTTTTTATTGGCTCTCTAAATTTCTTGTATTTCTTGCTTGTAATGTGCTCTCCAACTTATCGCTACTTCTGGATACTTCTCATTTTCCGCTCGAACTCAAATTTTGGTTAAAATTCCTTTCATTCGAATGGGCGAGTTTCTGAAATCATATGGTAGTGCACAAAGTCAGCTGAAATTTCCTCCAGATTTTAATTTGACACCGAATTTCAGCCTTGGAGGCACCAAATTTTCAATTCATTCTTTCAGAGTGGAAGTACGATTTCTGAAAAGTGCCGTAACAATCGATCTGATCGATTCATAGTCAAAAAGAGCCAACAGACTTCGTCTCCAGTCAAGATGCGAAAGAGTGAAGTGGCTGCGCTAAGTCGATCCTATTCTAATGAAGCTGCTCGTATCAGCGATGACATTAACAATAAGGATCACGGCATTAACCGTGACAGTTATGGTTATGATAATGATAAGCGCAATCCTACCAAATCAATCAAAAAAACGAACACTCCCTCACACAAAACTGACTGTGAAGACGGTCCGGATAAAGACTACATTTATCACCGTNCAACTCAACAACACCCTAACTATCAAGGAAATGCCAACATTGCCGACGCCCCTGCTGCCTTAAAATCAACCCGTGGAATCGACTCAGAGTCGTTCGCTCGATCCGGTCAGTCATCGAGGAGAGATTCGGTTCATTCGGAGAGCAAATATTCCGATACGGGCACTGACAGTGATACAAGTGATTCGTCGACATCCTCCGAATCGTCGAAAAATTCTAACAGCAACTCAAATTCCAATTCCAACAGCACGTCCAGCGCGAGCTTATCAGAACACGCTGATGAAATTTGCGATGAACACTCAGGACAGCAAGCGCCGATGAGGTAGAGGTTGGGAGAATTTTGAACCTTCTTGACTTCATGTCGCTATTTTTCTAGTTGCTATGCGAAATTTCAACCATTTTACTACCCGTCTCTGTTAGTTTACATTGTTCTGTTTTGCTTGATCAAGTATCTTGATCACACATCTAAGCGGTTTGTTTCATAGTTGTTGAATATGGCGGTTGATTTGATAATAGACTATAAGAATGAAATTTTAAGCGAATTTCAAAACATTACTGACATTCACATTCATTTTGTTGATTCGTTTTTAGCTCTCAAATATTTTTATTTGTTG